AGAGAGAGAGAGAGAGAGAGAGAGAGAGAGAGAGAGAGAGAGAGAGAGGCCAAGGCCAAGGCCAAGCGAGCTACCGTCTACAGTTGAAAATTTGGTCCAAAGTGGAAATTTGACGGCAAGTGGAAACTTGATGGACAGAGGTGCAGAAGGGGGACAGAGGTGCTTCAACTAGGGTTTACTACAAGATGTAAACTCTGCGAAGCAGGAGATGAGTGGGAGAGGAAAAAAGGCATGTGCAGGGAATTAAGCTGATTGGGGAGTTGGACTGTTGAATATTTCTAGTCTTTCAAGTAAAAGTAAGGTCTTTATGTTTCAGTCTCCAGTGTTTTTCTTTTTTCTTACAGATAATTGCTTAAATACTAGATTGATACTGGTAATTTATTTTCTTTTAAAAATATATCGCTACAGTGAAGTGTAAAGAGCAAGGTTATCTTGAGTAATTAATTTATAAATTAGATCAGATACGATAGTGATGGCAGGATGGGTGTTGTGTCGCTGTTACAAGCTGCGGAAAGTGCTGGACGCTAAGGTGATCCACTGTGAACACATCTGAAGTAAGCACTTGCAGGTCGAGATGCTTCAGATTTGAAGTGAGGAGCTGGAGTTGGAGCTGCAGACACTGTTTCACATCAGGGAAGGAAAGTGACCTCGACACTTTGCTCCACAGAATGGTTGTACGCCTCAAATTAGGTTGTTTAAAATTGATCTGTGAAAATTGATCAGGGAAAAATAGGAAGTTGTGACAATAGGTGAGACTGCTATGAAGACCCAGGAGATTTAAATTGAGGAACCTAAGCCCCAACAATTGTCCAACATTTACAAGGCTTTTGCAAGCTGTACGGACGAGAGTGGGGACTGCAAAGAGAATGAGCAAACTGACTGTGGCACCTTTGTACAGGGATTCATTCAAGTGGGGAAAGGAAATGTAGTTATGGTAGGGGACGGCATAATTAGGGGAATAGATAACTGTTCTCTAAAAGGCTGTACTGCCTTCTTGGTGCTGGGGTTAAGGACATCTCCACAGAGGGAGGGGAGGGATCCAGTAGTCATCATCTACATTGGTACAAATAACATTAGTAAGACTAGGAAAGGGGCTTTGCTGAAAAACTTTCAACAGTTCAGAGCTAAATTCAAAAGCAGAACCTCCAAGGTAATAATCTCTGGATTATGGGCTATGGGCAAACTGGCATAGGTAAGTGAAGTCAAGGAGTTAAATGTGTGGCTTAAAATTTGGTGTGATTGGAGTTGGTTTCAGTTCTTGGGGCACTAGCACCAATACCGAGGAAGAAGAAAGATATCCTGGTAGAATGGGCTTCACTCGAACTGTACTGAGACCAGGATCCTGGTGAATCGATTAACTGGGGCTTTAAACTAATTAGAGGGAGGGAGGGTTTGGGAAAAGGGAAAATGTAGGTTTACAAAGCGAGAGGATTTAGCAGCATTACAGGGCAACTGCTTGGATTACAATACTCAGAGGGAGAGGAAGGGAGAAAGTACAAACTTAAAAAAAAGTACATGGGTCAAAACGGAAAATAAGAAGTGTTAAAAGGCAAAATTAACAGCTTTTCCTTCGATGTGTGCAATATTCAGAACAAAATGGATGAAATAAAGGCTCAAACACAATTAATGTGTATGACCTTGTAGCCGTTACAGAGACATGGTTATAAGGAGATAAAAGCTGCGAACTAAGTATTTGGGGTATGTGACTTTTCGAAAGGACAAGGAGGGGAAAAAGGGTGGTAGGGTAGCATTACTTGTATGGAGTGGAATAAGTATGGCAGCAAGAAAAGACCTTGAATTGGAAGTCACATTATCCATATGGATGGAAATAAAAATTAAAAGTTAAAGTTGACACTGGCAGTAGTCACCTAACAGTATGGCGGGACAGGGAATAATTCAGGAGATAATGAAGGCATGTATCAAAGACAACCACAAGGAAGAATAAATAGAGTGTATTCAGGGCAGGTTCCTAGAACAATACATTATGGATTCAACCAGGGTTCAGGCTATTTAAATATTAGATTGATACTGGTAATTTATTTTCTTTTAAAAATATATTTTTGAGACCAGGTGTAACATGGCATGTTTAATAAATAATCTCAGTGTAAAAGATCCTCTAGGAAATAGTAACCATAACATGGTAGAATTCACCATTCAGTTTGAGAGGGGATCTACATCAGAAATAACCATGCTAAACTTAAATAAGCATAATTGCAAAGGAATAAGGCCAGAGCTGGCTGGAATGGACTAGGAAATGAGCTTAGCAGTAAAGATGGCTGAGGAACAATGGCAGACAGTTAAGAAAATCTTTCATTGCTCACAGCAAAGATATATTCAAGTGAGGCAGGAGGATTCTAGGAAGGGGATAAGCCACACAATGGTTAAATAAGGCAGTTAAGGATCGCATCAAATTGAAAGAAATAATATGCAGCAAAGATTAGTGTGTGATAATACTATGCATTAAGAGGTGTATTTTGGCTTTTATTTTAAATGAAGAGACATTAAAACAGAGGTGATGATTGGTCTGTTCCACGCCAATGAATTAAGCAGCTTATGAGGCCTTGGGAATTTCATTTTTGAAGTTGGGCCAATAGAAGCAACATGAATAGGTGGGTCAAGCTCCTCAGAATCAGGATTTTAGTTTAACTTTCAATAGTTGCTGGGGTCTTGAATCTGGATATGGAAGCTGTTATTCCACTCTCCATTACAGCTAAAAGTTTGGGTTCTCTTCCTGCTGCCAAAATCCCATGTGAGACAATTTATTTTATAGAATTTGCCTTAGCCAAGTGTGTGTTTATGGGAAGTTACTATATTGGAACAGCTGCTGTTTAGTAGTTAAATAGTCTATTATTATGTTAAATGTTCCAGTTGAGTTCAGTTATACCAATTCTTATTTCTTTTGTTTATATTTTAACCAAGGGTAAGAATAAAGTGTGTTTTGCTTCAAGCCTGGTAGTCTGACGAATTGAATTGCATCTGGAACACAATGCTTTACACTTGCCTTTAAAAATAAGAGAAGTCTAGGCCATCTTATTAAAATATTTTGAAGAGGCTTGGTCTGGCTCATAACAAATGATAAACCAGAGGATTGCTAAGGTTTTAAAACCGACAGAAGACAACCAAAAAAATAATAAAAAGGGAGGACAAAACTCTGAAGGTAAACTCGCAAGTAACATCAAAATGGACAGCAAGAGCTTCTTCACATATATTAAAAAAAGACAGAAGTCACTTAGGCCCCTTCAAAAATGACACCAGGGAAATAATAAGATGCTGGGGAAATAATAATGGGGAACCAGGAAATTAGAAAGGAGTTGGAAAGATATCAAACTATCATATTTATTATAAACAAATAATAAGAATGTAGCCGAAATACACTGCACAATAGGTTTAATACTAACTATTGAATACAAATCATTACTTTGTGCTGCCAGGTGATGTGACTGTACTGCCAAATACACAACTCTAGTTGCACAATTGCAGAACACAAGACAAATGCATTGGTACTAAAATTGGAACAAACGGGCA